AATAGTCATTGCACTTGAGTAGGAGACCCTTATGCCATATCTTGTCAAAATATTTACTAATGTCCAAGTAAATGGCTGTAAAGTCATTGCCTCGGCCCAAAGCTGCATAAAGATTTTTTACTTAAATATACCAGCTGAATTTATGTGCTATGCTTTGGACGGTATTCACTTTGTTTCTCAGAGAGCAGCCCATTCTGAGTTAGGTCTTGATAGATATCATTAAAGATAATTCTTTCAAGAATTTTTGACACACAAGGGAGTAGACTGATTGGTCTGTAGTTAGCAGGATCCGAGCTTGACCATTTGTTCTCGAAACTGGGATGAGCCTTTGCTTCTTTCCAGGTGGAAGGAAAAATACCTTGGCTTAGGGACATGTTGAATAGCTTAGTAAGTGAAGTCTTTATCAATATGGCATTCATTTTTAATATGTTCGCTGGGAGATTGTCGGAACCGCATGATCTGTTTGGATCGAGTGTTGAGTGCGCTCAGTACTCCATCCTCTGTAATGGCTATGCTATCTAACGTGGGCGGTGGATCCGCAAGCGCGGTCTCGGGGACAGGTAGGTCGTCAGTTGCAAGTTGTGATTGGCAAAAAAGTTAGCTAGTAGGTTAGCTTTATCTAAGTCTTCTGTCAATGGGGTTGAATCCGGTCCCACGAGCGGTGGCACTGTCTCAGCTCGTGTCCGTCCTTTCATTTGTTTAAGAATGCGATGGTACGTGTGTGGGTTTTGCTTTGCATGCAAGAGGTTGTTTTCTTGATGCTGCAAGGGGTTGTTAAGTCGTCTGCTCATGCATGTGGTGAAATTTGCTTGTTGTCGCCAGCGGTCCCAGTGGTCATCAGTCATATACCTCTGAGCAAGTCTGAAAAGTCTGTCTCTTCTCCTCATCTCTCTCTTTAGTGCAGCATTGACCCAAGGTTTGTCACAGTTTCTTATTCTGATTATCTTTGTTGGAATAGCTTCAGCAGCTGCTGCGGACATGGTCTGCGTAAAGTTGTCGCTGTGTCTATGTCATGATCGAGTACTCTGTCCCAGTCTGTGTTTACCAGAAGTTGTGAAAGTTTGTCTGCATCCATGTTTGTGTAGTCCCATACTTGTTTGGTTGATGCCTTTAGGGGTGGTGATGCAACCTTGATAGTGACAAAGGTAGGAATGTGATCTGTTAGTGAAAAAGGGGGAGAACCCCACCGCCTGCAATGATGTTGTGATGTTTGTGCTGGATGTCAGTATTAAGTCTTGTAAGCTGGCTGTGTCTTGTGTAATGCGTGTTGGCTGATCAATGAGCTGTGTCAAATTGAGTGATTCAACTGTGCGTTTCGGACTGAGTTCAAATGGAAAGGTATCATTGTGGTTAGTGGAGTGCGCTTTAGTTAGATAGTTATAACCAGCGTTAAAATCTCCCAATATCAGTATCGATGCGGGGTTATATGTTTGTGTCATGCCAACACTGTCTGACAAGATATCTAAAAACTCTGTCAGTTGACTGCTAGAGAGATTGGGTGGGACAAAAACACAGAAAACCACAATAACTTCTGATTTGAATTCAGTGAGGGACCAAACCCATTCAACTCCTTCCAGTTCGAGATCAGGTAGTCTCTTTGCTGGGAGTGTTGATTTAAAGTATGCTGCTACTCCCCCTCCATGTCGAGTCCTGTGCTTAGTCATTGGGTTGTGGGAGTTGTGTCAATTGTACAAGCTAGGATGGACCTGTAAGTCAAGTTTGGTTTCAGTCAGAGGCAATATGTCAATGTCGTTATATGTGGTGAAGAGTGCAAGCTCGTCCAGGCGTCCTGGAGATGTGATGCTGTTTATGTTGACATGTAATATCGTGACACTCTTGGCTGCTAGTGGTCCTGGGATGATTTCCAGCCTACTGATTATTAAGCAAATGTCAATGTCAGGATATAGTCTAAGTGACAGCTTTGAGCATTTGTGTGCAGGAGCTGAGGAAGTGAAGGTAAGATGTGTGCTTGAAGGAAAAGAGTGGGTGAGAACTGGATAATGGTATGGCATGAGGTATGAAAGGGATAGAGGAAAAATACCAGCATCTGCTGAGCAGCCCATCTCCAATGTCCCAGCGGAAGAGGTTGATTGAATGCTGTCAGAAAAAGTCCCTGGTAGCAGCAGGCTAGATTTGGCAGCGGACACGAAGCAGCATCCAGGAACTGGTAACAAGTTGACAGTGATATGAGAGTCGCACGAGTAGCAATGTGGAAAATAAGGCAGATGCAATTACACAAAAAGGCTATGATGGAGAACAGAAAAGAAATAAGCAAACTGGCTTCTCTAATCATGTATCAAACATGACTATGTCACTGGGGCAAAGCATACCTGATATGAGCATATCACATTGTGAGCCATGGATCTCAAACCAACAGAAATACAGTTGCCGTTGACAAATGCAGATACAGTCAAGTAGACACAAATAGTCAGCACAGCACGCCTGATGTGAAGTGATGGCCGCGAGCATAAGTGTCATACATCAACCACAATAAACACACAGCATGAAGCAACAATCAGGAATGCAACAAGGTCAGCATCGCTCCGACGTGCATTCTAAAAAGTTACATCGCAGCAATAAGTGAGAACCACTGGGACCACTAAACTAAGCTGACAACACACTTCTTAGAAATACGAACAAAGTACAAATGCCGTGGCCACCGTATTACACACAGCTACCAGATTTCGGCTGAGGTGTAAGCAAAGCGCATTTCGTACTGGCATATGAGGTTTACCTGCTTTCCCCGGCAGTCGCAACGACAGCGTATGTTGCAGCACTCGCGGCGTCTGCGTTGTCCGGTCCGCGGTCGTCAGTGGGGGCAGCTGCCCCGGCTGCCGTACGACGACGAGTCGCCTCAGCCGCCCCGACAATCCTGTGCAGGTCCTCTTCTGTTTTAATTGCATGTGTGTTGCTTCCTTCCGCTGTTTTTATTTTCATTACGCAGCCATCACTCTAGGCTGCCCAGATTTTGTCGTCTCGTCTGAGCTGGCGAGCGGCACACATCACTTTCTGGCTCCTTTTAGTCAGGTTTACAGTTACATACGCCCTTGTGATGGGGTCTGGAGTCAGACAGGACTGCCTAGGTGGGTGAGCTGTCCGCAACCGCTTACGGGCGCTCCATACCTCTTCCCTCCTCGTGTAGGACACAAACTTGACGATTAGCGGTCGAGTACGGCTGCCGCCGTCCGGGGTGGGCTGAGGTCTACCGACCCGATGAGCGCGGTCAATGTCGCCTGGCTAGAGCTGGACGCCCATAGTTCTGGCTAGGTCAATGGCCAGGCGCACCGGTTTGCGGTTTCAGCCGCGCCGTTGAAATTGAAGCAGTTCCGTCTGGAGTACTGCCCAATATCGTCAATTGCCTGTGACTGGGTTCAGATGATTTCTTGTTGCTCACTCACTTGGTTCTTGAGCTCCTTTACTTCTTTATCGCGAGATTCGAACTCCTCCTTGAATATATCTCGCAGAGTGTTGCGCACTTCATTGTGGTTGAAGCAGGCAAGAAGGGCTCGCTTCAGTGACTCCTCATTCAGAGTTTTCTCATTTTCTCATCTGCCCTTATCCTTCGTTCCTCCCTACGTCACCCTTAACCAAATGTCACTCGCCTGTCACTCGTGCGACCCGCTACTTCTCACGAGCGGTCACACTTAAGGCTCGAAACGGACTGGCACTCGGCCTGACACGGCTGTTTAGGGCCCGGTCGGCGAGGGTCGCGAGCGTCGCGAGCTCTGACCTGGGCGGCGGCCAAGGACGAACTTGGGTCGACGAACAAACGAACAAAGGTCGACGCCGGCCAAGGCAGTTCGGCCGATGGAGGCGGGGCCGGAGGGCCCGCTTCCGCCGTCACTGGCGGAGGAAGACCAAGCTGACCAAGTACTTCAAGTTTCAGGTGATGGTTCATATAATTATTGCCTCTTCCAACTGCCGGTCCTCTGGCCCCTCGAACAGGCAGTCTCTGCAGCCAAGTAAGGCCGCACAGGCCGGCAGTTGCGCATCAAGTATCAAGATTTGCATCAAGTATTGATATTTCAAGACTTGATACTTAGTATCAAGTCAGGTATCAAATATCAATACTTGCATCAAGTATTGACACTATAGGACTTGATACTTCGTATCAATTCCTGTACCAAGTATCAAGACTGGACTTCTGGTACTTATTAAGGAATGAATGCGAACGAGAGCTATAGGTGGGAATGAGTGCTCGACAGACTGCGACTAACTCCAGGCTCAAGTTCTCGCTCTGCCTGAGACCGCTCCTGGCTCGCCGGATGATCCGTCCTTGGTGTCAGAGGCGCGCTGAGACAGCTGCTCAGGCGGGAGGTGGTGCTCAGAACGGGCATAAAATGTATGCGGCTGTTTTTTATTTAAAAAGATATTTAAAAAACATGTGTGGTTTTAAGAGAAGCGAAATGGAAAACAGGTACCGTTTCCAGAAATGTTGCAGTCTAAAGCATTCACTGTCAAGAGTCTGGAACACAGCCGCAGGTTCGAGGTGAGAGCCGCGTATATGCATCTTCATGGAAGGGGACGAACCATCCATTTTCAAGGCACATTCTTTCCGTGCATCGCCATGAGGTTAATATTGAAGTTAAACAAATGCGTCGGCTCTGGCCCACCCAACCCCTCCCCTGTTCGCGCGCTCAGCTCTCACGCGTGGAGGGAGCGTTGCACCCCTGTTTTGCGATGGCCGCTGAGCGATAACATGTCCTCTGCGCTCGCTGGTGTCCCATAAAGACGTGTGTGGCGATGTGCGTCGCATTCTCTTCTATGAAAAAGGCGGTAGGAAGGCAGGCTGAAGAGTTCCAGGGTTGGGACGAGACTTGATACGGGGAGGGATACGACACGATAAACGATGGAAGACGGCGACACCCTTGATTGAGACGATTCAGGGGAGTTTCATCCACCAAAAAGACGTGCCGACTGAACTATGCGGTGGACTTGAAAGCGTGGGGCAAAGATGGCACAACCTAAATCTCCGAAGAGGTTTGCTAGCGTATCGTCTCATTTCAGGTAGTCGTCCAACTCGGCGAAAATTGCGTCGTTTGGCACTAGTTGTACTCTCCGAAATGAAGCGCCTGGAACCGCCCCTGCTCGGGCCAATAGGCCCCTCCTCGCGGGCTGACCGGGCGGACAGGCCTCTCCTCGCGGGCGACACGCACCCGTTTACAAAGTATATACAACCTTCGAGCCGCCCCGTCTGCCTGCGCTTATCCCGTCACTCTGCGCTCGGTCACTGCCGCGTGACGGGCCGTGTCGGATTGAGCTCTGCGCGTGCTGCTTTAGGGTTATCGTGACGCTGACCAGCCGGTGACGTTCCAGCACGCTTCATGTCGAACCCAGAACCTCACGTCACAGAAGGTGAGGAGCTTTCGGCGCACGTTAACGCGCGCTGGCAATGTAATCGACATCCGTGCTGGCTTATATTTTATCTGCGTCTCAAATCGGATGAGTTGTGACCTAGTGACAGCCATTGTCACTTATAGGTCAATGAACCCGTCGTCATTGGGGCTGTGCAACGCACTCAGCGGTTAAAGGCATGTGCTGTTCAGTATCTCTCACCCTGGCGGAAAGATCGTGCTTCGTCGGAATCAAATCTCATAGTTTCTGGACGCGCGGCCTAACCACTGCGCTGCTGGACCCTCGTGACGCACATCGTGGCATTGTCTGACACGGTCGCTGGGTGGCGATGTACTGAGAGCGGCTAGGCCAGCGAGCCGGCTTCCCTCCAGTGACCCTCATAAATGGATAAAACACGATATTCTGTTCAAAAAAGTGAAAACAGTAAGAAAGGAAAAGTTGGATATTAAAGAGAGCATCCCACTTTTTGTACTTTTCACATATTGTTAGATCGGACGCATGCGATTTGATCAATGATACCAGCATTCTCGAAATCCTTCTAAGTTCAGCATTTCTATTTGAAGTACGAGGAACTCCTCGTGGTGGTGGAACTCCACTCCTGCTGGAGAAATTTCATTTGACTACCTGCTCACCACTGCAAAAATAATGCATTTAATTTTCCCTCCTTTTTCTAACGTGCGTGCTCTGTAATGTTTGTAACACACTGATTGCCAAAATGGTGGGATTCCCGCAAATCAACGAAACGCGACAGTGGGGTTTGATTTCTTCCCTATGGCGCTCACCACGGTGGGTGCTTTCGAGGCGCTCTCCGGCATCGCGAGTGGTCCATATTGACGCACTGGTTTAAACGTCAACCGGTGCGGTTCTAGGTGACAGGCTCTTGCCGCCTGTTGGGCCAATCACAAATGTTCTTTTATACGCACCAGTGGAGGTACGCACGCGGTTGTCGTGAGGTAACGATCGTAGCGTGTCATGACGGTTATGTACTTCGGGCTCGAAATTAAGCAAAATTGATACCTCTATTATGTCCTGACGGTGCTGTTATTGCACCACCCAGTGCTATTATTGGATGTAACTGGTCCTGAGGCTTCACTAGAATATATTTTTGAAGCATGCCCAGAAGGTGGGACAATCCCTTTGATAGAAACGTCTCCAGGTGTAAGCAGACGTCGACGTCGCAGTCTAATGTCATGTTAGGTCACGTAACTCAACCACCCCGGGTGATCGGCACATTTTTGTGGTGTTAGATTATTACCAAGTGTGTTATAACCGAGTGGTGAAAGTTTTTGGTCGTCGGTTAAGCAATTTAAGAGGAATGATTCACATTGAAGATGTAGGGGGCAAGCATCAGATATGACCAAAAGAGCTTATTTATAAGTATTGGTTTGCTATGGCATTTCTTGGGCTCACGCAACTGACATTGCCAAGAGAGGCCCCTGCTACCATAATTCCATCCAAACGCTACGTTAAGAAATGTCACTGTTATTTCCTTAGCAGTGACATTTCTGAAACATGTGACACATAATATGTGCCTTTATTATCTTTGAAATGTAAAACACTGTTACTGGGCTTTTGAACGAGTTGCAGTGTACTGTCTGTCCTTCTCATGACTGGTCTGACGTGACGTGACTTATTTCCGAGCTGTAACATTGGACGCTGGCGGTTTTACGTTATCACTGGAATCGTGACGCAGTAATGATTTTGTAGAGCATGGCATGAGTCACAAGGAGTGAAGCTATGGTAATGTGGCGTTTTGCGGGCCGTATTGCGACATACGCATCTAAGCTCCTGTTCTTCTAGATGGGAATAAAACAGTATTCACACAGGGTGTGGAGCGAGAATGCTGTCTTCTAGATGACGATAAAACACATTTCATGCATTGCATGCTACTAAAGGCTGAATTTTTGGACTTACCGTGCAGTGACGAACCGAATGATATCTAAGGAAACGCAGTTTTGTTCATAACATGCCTTTCACCCCTGGTGACGTTGGAAGTTGAAGTTAGAAGTGAGAAGTTATGTGTATATATGTATATATATATATATATATATATATATATATAGATAGATAGATAGATAGATAGATAGATAGATAGATAGATAGATAGATAGATAGATAGATAGATAGATAGATTGTGTGTGCGTGTGTGTGCGTGCGTGTGTGCGTGCGCGCGTGAATGCGTGTGTGTGTGTGTGTGTGTGTGTGTGTGTGTGTGTGTGTGTGTGTGTGTGTGTGTGTGTGTGTGTGTGTGTGTGTGTGTGTGTGTGTGTGTGTGTGTGTGTGTGTGTGTGCGCGCGCGCGCAAGCTCCTGCCTACTTAACAAACGCAGTAGTTGACGCTTATATGTATGCGTGTGTGTGTGTATGCAGAGGGCGCAAGCGCGCCGTCGTCGGTGCGTTTCGTCGTCGTGGATACGGACCTGGGCGTCGACGACGCTCAAGCTATCGGCATGCTGCTGTCGGCCGAGCGGCGTGGCGAGCTGCGCGTACTGGGAATCACCACCGTGGCCGGCAACACCAGCGTCAAGAACGCCACGCGCAATACACGCCGCCTGCTCGCCACATACGGCCGTCTGGACGTGAGTAGGTCGGGCAAGAGACGACAGCAGGGGTTGTCGATGAGCAGGTGTGTACAACGCAGGAGGACGACACCAGAGGCTGTCGATGGGCAGGTGCATGTACATCATGTGTACAGAGCAGGGGGACCACACCAGGGGCAAGCGGTGAGTAGGTGTGTACAGAGCAGGGGGACAACACGAGGGGTGGGCGGTGAGTAGGTGTGTACAGAGCAGGGGGGTGACACCAGGGGCAGGCGATGAGTAGGTATGTACAGAGCAGGGGGACGACACGAGGGGTGGGCAGGAGTAGGTGTGTACAGAGCAGGGGGCGACACCAGGGGCAGGCGGTGAGTAGGTGTGTACAGAGCAGGGGGACGACACCAGGGGCGGGCGGTGAGTAGGTGTGTACAACGCAGGAGGGTAGGTGTGTGAACGCAGTAGGTGTGTGAGCGCAGGAAGACGACACCAGGGGCAGGCGGTGAGTAGGTGTGTACAGAGCAGGGGGGTGACACCAGGGGCAGGCGGTGAGTTGGTATGTACAGAGCAGGGGGACAGCACCAGGGGCAGGCGGTGAGTAGGTGTGTACAGAGCAGGGGGACGACACCAGGGGGCGGGGCGGTGAGTAGGTGTGTACAACGCAGGAGGGTAGGTGTGTGAGCGCAGTAGGTGTGTGAGCGCAGGAAGACGACACCAGGGGCACGCGGTGAGTAGGTGTGTACAGAGCAGGGGGGTGACACCAGGGGCAGGTGGTGAGTTGGTATGTACAGAGCAGGGGGACAGCACCAGGGGCAGGTGGTGAGTAGGTGTGTACGGAGCAGGGGGACGACACCAGGGGCGTGCGGTGAGTAGGTGTGTACAACGCAGGAGGGTAGGTGTGTGAACGCAGTAGGTGTGTGAGCGCAGGAAGACGACACCAGAGGCAGGCGGTGAGTGGGTGTGTATAGCGCAGGAGGGTGACACCAGGGGCGGGCGGTGAGTAGGTGTGTACAGCTGAAGCTGATGATGGTGTGCAGCGCCATACTCTCAAAGACGGCTCTTAGCGAACGGCAATGAAGTTAGCAAAAATGAAATACCTTAAATGAATCGCATAGCCTCGCAAAGTGTTTGTAAACAAGTTGTTCACATATAAAGCAGTCTTTGTGGCTTGCACTAATGATCTCGCGTCAACAGATGCTTGTTGGCGTCCTCTAAATTTACTGTCGAGTAGACGGTGTCTTTCACCTTGTCAACCTGGTTCTATGGACACACGATCGGAACTGAGGTATATCCTGGTTTTCTGGTCCGCGTGTAAGCTGGGGCTCAAATGCCGCGGCTGCTTGACACATCCTGGCGTACGTTGGCACCCCCGATGCATCCTGCCTTACTAATCCCTCGTTTGCAGGCACGTTTGCACGTCCGTTTGGCTCGTTTGCTTCGCATGCCATGATGCATGTGCACTGTACAGCGTTTGTGCAAATATGCTGTATACGCTGTTGCTCAGGTGCCTATTGTCTCGCAATGCTGGTACTCAGGCGTGTGTTGTCTCACAATGTTTGTGCTCAGGTGCCTACTGTCTCGCAATGTTGGTGCTCATGGTCCCATTGTCCTGTGGGTCCTTGTGCACGCTGGTGCTCAGGGGCCTATTGTCCTGTGGATCCTTGTCTATGCTGGTGCTCATGTGCCTGTTGTCCCGTGATCCCTGTGTATACTGGTGCTCAAGGTCTCATTGTCCTGTGGGTCTTTGTGTATGCTGGTGCTCTAGGTCCCATTGCCTTGTGGGTCCCTGTGAATGCTAATGCTCAGGTGCCTGCTGCCCTGCAGGTGCCTGTGTATGCTGGCGCTCACTGCTTCCTGCTGAGTGGAACAGATGACCCCCCTGACCAATACCACGGGGAGAACGGGCTCGGTAACGCCCGCTTCGAGGAGCCGCTGCCCGCAGTCAAACAGCGGCCGGAGCATGCCGTGACGGCACTCTCTCGCCTCGCCAGCGAGCACAAAGGTCAGACTTGGTCAGGTGACGTCATACGCTGACGTCGGAGGGTGCCAGGCGTACGCAAGTCAGGTGGGGCGCGCGCTTAGGTATGGGTCACACGGTCCCTTACGCTGACAGGAATGTGGGTATATCGCGCCGCCTGTGCGCTGGTGACGCACGGTTGGAGAGATTCACTGGAACCTGCGCTCCCCCCGGCCTACGTGCACTTGGCTTTTCCTGCCCAGTGATCTGTCGTTGCCTGCTGACGGTATGGCTCTCGAAGATAGGGTCCAGACTAAACAGCGGGACCCGTGCGACATGGACTGTAAGCTTTCAAATGCGCAATATGATGGGCTAAATAAATAAGCTACAAGGCGACTATAGGCTGCTCTTCTACTCCAACAATAGCAAGAATGTTGCTCAGGAAGACAAAGACTGACAATGATAGAACGAGCCTCACATCTTTGGATCAGAGTTTGACAATGGAAGGCACTCCATGCCGTAAGTTGTGACAAACACTTTCATATTTTTGCCATATTTCGTCGTGATCCCAATGATGTTCAGACATATAGGTACACTAGTTGGAATTTTTAGCTTCAACAGTTGGAATTCTTTGTTCTGGTAGTAATTGATCTTGAGTATGCTGGATGGTACTTGTTAAACAACATTGTGAAGCAGGCGTTGCCTTTATTGACAAAACTCGCCTTTGCAAGTCATGCTTTATAGCGATAGAGAACAGTAGGAGAGAGCGAGAAGGAGAGTGAGAGTGAGAGGAGAGGAGGAGAGAGAGAAAGAGAAAAAGAGATCCCTCTGGCTCCAACTTTGGAATAGGATGTGCTTTGTCTCCTTCTTCCAACTTGCGACGGGGGTCTGGGTAACTTAAATGACCAGGTGTGTTTGTACTCCAATCTTCTGTCTGTGTGACATGAGCACTGACCGTTTATGTGCGGACGGGTTCGGTCCGCGTCACCACAGCTATTTGGTTAAGGACCTCAGTCGGTTATAAGTCATTAAGACGCCACCACATTTGGACCCCACCAAGACTATTTCCGGTCACATCGTCACCTAACTTGGCGTCATAATGGCGTCATGGCGTCACCAATATGCCTAACTTGGCGTCATCTGTCCATGTGTTGTCTGAAGCCATTGCATATTACCTGATCATCGTTGTTTGTGGACCATTCCGTCGATCTCTCGCTGTCGAGAGACGCCTTTCGCCGCACGTCCATGGCGCAAGGTCAGCTGGGACGCACTCTGTCTCCATCTTCTGCAGGCCGACTGGGGCTCGGTATACCGGGAGGCGAAAATGGATCGGAAAGTGACAAAAATCATGCACGTGTGGTGGAGTGCGGTCGACGTGCAGCGTCCCTTAAGAGCTATAACCCTCGTCGTCGTTTGCAGTGGTCAATAACATAAACATTTCTGTCCTGCCGAAACCAACAACCCGGGCCGAAACCCAACTCCCGGCCTACCGGCGTCTTTGAAGCCGCGGCAAGGCCCCTTTGCGACGTCGAAGCTTGATATATTTCCGATACCCTGCTCACAGGCCATGCCGGTTTCTTGTGAAGCAGTGATAACTTCGCTTTCCAGCCCACGAAGGGAGGAGTGGCGCCGAGGTGGACCTGTCCATAGCATGGTATTTGGTTTTCGTCAGCCCATGTATCGCTGCCGAAATGGCAGCGACACCCTTGGCTCTGCCACCTGGAGTGCCATGACTGCTGCCAGTCTAAGGCAGCATCACACTACTTTGCTTAAATTTTCGATTGCTACGAGTGGGCTGTCATCATCCAGGGTGAAAGGACGAAGCGGTGTGCCGCTGTATACGTTACTTAAATGTCTCCTTGTTCTAAGAAGCCACTTGCTCTATGCCATCAACATATCTGATGTCTCTTGTGTTTTTCCTGCCTTCTGGAATGTGGCCTCTGTCCTTCCTCATCACAACTCCGGTTCTCATGGTATCGCTAGTAATGTCAGGTACCACATTACATTTACCACACTACTAAGCTGTGGCGGTGAGTGCGTGTGTGTGGGTGGGGGGGGGGGGGGTTCGTGGGGTCGGCGTTGGTCCCACCGTCGCCGTCACCTTAATTGATCTGAGTCGTGTCTTCGATAGTGTCGACCAAGGCGTTCGTCTGGAAGCATTGGTATGACATCGATCCTAGGTGCTTCAAACAACCTGTCTTGCCGTTTGGCGGTAGGTGGTAAGAGGCGGTTGTCTCTTCCTTCTCCTGACTCACGGCACTCCTCCGATATCCCTAATCGGTCTTATCCCTCCCAGGACCACCGCGCTTGACATGCCAGCCTGCATCCGTCGCGGACGTTTGACATTCCACGCCGACGGTATCTAACTGCTGGACTGCTCTCATCCCGACCAATTATTTGATCATTATCACCAGCTTTCTTATCGCATCATCACCTTTAGAAATCCCGGCACGAGGAAACCATCCCAGTGATCCTACTTCACATCCAACTGCCCAACATGAATTCCACTAAAGCAATGTCTCTCCTTTTCGGTACTCTACAGTCCCTAAACACCCTTATCATTTAAGCTTACCGTTGCTGGACAAAAAACAGCCCGCTCTCCGTCTGTGAAGATGCTGGGGGCGGCCATTAGCTCTACTATTTCCTAGGAGAAGAACGTACTGAATGCCGTCAAGAAGTGCTGTTCTCTGTATGAGATACGTCACCACCTCACGCCCCAAATCCGTAAGCTTATCCAGTCCCACGCCCCTCCCATGTGCTGTACTGCCTCCCGGTCTGTGGCGTGGCTGCGGTGTGTTACGTAAACAGAGCGCGAGGGGGCGTGAGTCATGACCAGGATCATCACTGGCGCTCGTCAGGGAGACTCCATGGCACCGTCGACTGGCAACGTCCTGGATTGCCGTGGCGTAAATGAGTGATCTAGGCACCCACTGTGCCAACCTTGCTGTGTGCAGGCCCCTTGAAGACTCGCGGGCTCCGTTGGCGGTCCGACCCATGTTCACCCCACGTACCGCTGTTTGCCAGCATGCCACCCGGACGGCAGCGGCGAGCGTCCTTAATGTCCGCTATCCGATTGTCGGTGGCACGCAGGACCTCCTAGTGTCGCGGAACCGCCTGCCCCCGACCACCACCGCCAATCGAGTCCGTAGGGAAATAGAAAAAAGATAAATGTTTGTCTATGTGTCATGACATGTTTCGACGATTCGTTTTCACATTTTTGTAAGTTTTAGAGCTGGAAGGTGGTCACCTTTTTGACGCTGTACTACTCCACTATCAGTTAAGTAGTGGGTAGTATTGAGTATATTATGAGTATTCACCTATACCTGTATCTATCATATGTATATGTATACATTTATATATATATATATATATATATATATAATATTATGTGTTCAGTCCAGCGGCCCTTTCGGAAAAACCTCCCCGAGGAGCATCCTGGATCCGCGCCTGGCGCCAACAATAACGCGGCGCGCCGGCGCAGGTCAGCTGGCGGCCGGCAGGTGGCAGCACGTCGGCTCCCTCCGGTGGCCGCGGCGGCCTGACCAACAGGCGCGGAGTGAGGGCCGCATGACAGGGCCGCCCTCTGGCGCACGCAGCTGTTGTCAGGGCCGCCCTCTGGCGCACGCAGCTGTTGTCAGGGCCGTGGGCTTGTCGCGCGCAGCTGTTGTCAGGGCCGTGGGCTTGTCGCGCGCAGCGGGCGGCAGTCCTCCCCTGACCGCGGTCAGCGGTGGTCCCTGCGCAGGAAGCCGCTGCAGATGCTGCCAGATTTTCAGAGACCCTCGCACAAAAGCAGTGCAGCTCATAAGATAAACTTTGAAATTCATACGCGTTGTCTAACCCGATACGAATTTGTTGTTTCTGCTCTTGATCTATAGAGGTTGGTCTCAAAATGGAGTGGAAGTTGAACAGGCTCGTTCTGAGCACCAGCATAGAAATAAGAGCAAAACAATTGCCGGAAATTGCAACACTGGACGAGCAAAGGTTACCTTTGCGCTATGGTGTGCACTCAGACGACACAATGATCGCTGGAGCTGACTTCTACTAGCAAGTACAGGCCGTCCTGATATACTTAGGGTTGTACACAATATCAGCTTCAAGCGTCTGTTGGTTTGTATATGTCTTGTGTTTCATCTCCTCCTATCATTTTATTCCATCTCCTATATCTCCTCATAATTCTAATGTTTCACCAGTGCGTCAAATCTCGTTTCCAGGGGAGCTGACGGTCGTGGCACTGGGACCACTAACAAATATCGCCTTGGCTGCACGCATGGACCAGGAGTTCATGACGAATATCAATGATATCTACCTTATGGGTGGAAACTACACAGGTCAGACATATGCGTGTCTTCATTTATGATGTGATCCAACGTGTATGCATGAACTGTCACTGACTTTCTGCGCATTATGCGCTTGCACTGTCCCACCATCAGTGGCATTTATATGTGCCTTTACGATTTCACTGGGTAGCCAAAACGTTTTGGCTCTGCCTGGAGCTCGCTGTTTCGTCACCTTTGACGGCAGAGGAGGAGGATGGGAGGAGGGCCGGGACGGGCGGCGAGTCCTTTTGCTAAACTTGTGCCCGGCATACCAGAGCGAAACAAAACAAAAAAACAAGAAGCAGAACGACACAAAACAAAATTGAACAAAATAACACGGTTATGTGCGAAGCAGAAATCAGATGACGCATTCAGGTTCGACCATCTAAAATTTTGTCCAGCCGCCGGTTTACTTTTGTGACATGAATATTACATTGAATGTGAGTGAGTAAAGAGAATGCCTCACATTTAAGCATATTAACGCAAGTATGACACATGATGAAATAAACTCACTTAGAACTACTGGTAAACTTTGAAATGGAAAACACTGTTAGACGGCACGATGACTCTATTCAGTAAATGTGCTCCTCAATACGCCATTGTTGGATGACATCACGAAAAATTAGCGTGACGTTGAGGTGTTACCAGACTAGCCGTACCAAAACTGCCACCATAACACTCACGTGTGGTAGTTCAGTCTCCCGAGAGGTGGGCCGTGGCGGTGCTGGAAGTGTTTGCTAACCCAATATCCCCATGTGCTCGGGTGAACACCCTTTCTCGTGGTGTTCTTGCATATTTGTCCGTCAGTTTAATGCGTTTAATTGCATTCACATACTCAGTTATGACGCTTTTATTAAGTACTTTAGAACAAGTCTCTTTTCCGTAATAACTAGCCCCTATGTCCAACTTCTTATACTATGTGCCACAAAACGTGATTCATTATTGAAACTTGCACAACCCGCTTAACATAGATTGAAAGCAATTTACGTCCATTATATCTGGAAATCGCGCCCACGAACCTCGGATATGAAGGATTCGACGATTACGTTCTTCTTGGTCTTGAACGCCGCGTGGCCAATGGGGTACTGGGTCTTGGATGATGTTTCTATAGTGTCATGCGTACCTGAGTGGCCTTGAAATATTCTGCGCGAAAAAGACAGTGCGGGCATGTAACATGCTTATTACGAAATAAAAAAAATATGGGAGCCATTCAATGAGTTTTCAATTATTGCAGGTGCTGTACTTTAAATAGGTATGTACATGTGCTTACACTACTGAATAACCAGTTATGCCTCTCCACGCCTAACTAGTGACTACGAATACAACATCTTTGTTTTTTACAACCATCACATGCACTCGGGCAGATTTCCATAGTCTACATCACTGACACATGCTCACCTGATATTTACTACTCCTTTTTCACCTATAGACCTATGCTTATAAAAGCCTCGGTTTGACCGATCGACTTAGGGGAGGAGTAGTATTTTAAAAGGAATTGTATTTGAACATATATAGATGACCTTAAGTCCTAGACTGTTGAGAACTTGTAGACTGGCAGAAGAGTAAATTTCGGGAGAAAAGTAGTTGAGGGCATGACTTTTCGGCGCTGGCCATCATCAGGTGGGTAAAGAGAGTAAAAGGAGTTAATCATGCACTAAGGATGTTTTCCCTCCTTTTCTCTTTCCTATCTTTATTAACGTGATAAGCCGAACGCCAAAAACGAATGTTTCCATCTACTCTTATCCTGATCTTTGCTCATCTACCAACCCACAAGTCTCCAAAGGCTTCCAGAGGGTCAATGTTGTTTAGGCTGAAGGTTATCTATCTATTCTTGCCTAGATTTATTATCGCCTTGCTATCTTCGCCGTGTGCCCCGAAATTAACTAGTGGAATTTATCAAACTGCTGTGTCCCTCAAGCAGTAACTGTCTCTTGGAATGATTTGGTATTATCCAGCATCACCTTCTTTGAAGCTCAGATAAGTTTATGAGAACTCTATCAGGTCATAGTTGCACCAATCAGTCCCCAGCGAACTTCTTCGGAAGAATGGATCGTGCCATTTATTGACGTTGGCTTTTAAAAACACTTGAAGTGCGTGATTCGAACCATAAAAACTGGTTCGTCGTCAATGAAGATTTGTCAAGAATATGCTCCGCCTTCTCAGCGACGTACTGGCTTATCTTTTCCTGGGGCAAAGACCACTCCTCAAACTGCGCAGATCCAGCTCCGTCATTGTTCTCTTTGTTGAAACCGCTCTAATCCGCTGAACTGAAGAGCTGACCTGGCTTTCGGGCACCGGCAAACAGTCGGTATTCTTTGATAATCTGATTCGACACTTTATGCAGAGGGTGATCCCCTCTCGAACCCTCGTTCATCTTCACCGTTTCACGCATTCCCACAGACGATCCGATGCCTGCCGTACGTTCACGAGGATGTGTCTCTTATGGCAGTCATGCGGTGTTTCAACAAAATATAAGAGCAATGGTGTAGTCAAACGTACATCCAAAAGAGGCCTCTACACATAGTTGTATTTCACTTTTTTGATCGCCCGCATGTCTACTTTGCGCGAGCCACTCCATGGAGTTCGTACGAAGGTGATCCCTTTGTTTGATCCGGCTTGTCCGGGCGGCCGGCCAACCTCAACCGGCCCAGGGTTTACAGAACGTGACCTTCGCGCGCGAGATAATAGCCTCTCCTGGTTCCTGATACTAGAAAATCGTCCGTCATACGCAATGGTGGTTGACAAATATTGAAACAATGGTGTGGTGTAAAAACGCATGGCCATGTACTTTTTATAACGGCACGTGAATGAAGTACACGACCATGTGTTTTTCACTGACTAGGGCTCTAGTGCACGGGCTCTGGTGTAGTTCAGAAAGATAAATGGCATTTGATTGCAGAATAAAAACGTTTTATTGATGTCACTGTGTTGGGTTAGTATAAATTGTGGTCTTTGGCTGTCATCTGCTCCATTTGGCATAATAACCGTATTTGTAAAACAGCAGTTTTGGAACGCAATGCACGTACGTGCCTGGGTGTAACCATTGTGGGGAGGGAGAAATGTCACCTACAATGTTCCGAAAATGGCATTTCCCCCGACCTTTGCCAGCAAAATGCACCTTTCGCATTTTTACATCTAGAGTAACGTCTCTTTAGTGGGTGTTCCTCCCTTCCCCCCCCCCTCACGCCCACTTCACCCTGATTTGTCCACCAATCCCAGAGAAAGGGTTACGCCCATGTGCAAATATGCAGAACATTTGCCTTTTTTCATCGGGTGATATCACGCGCAAACGATGGAAATGTTATATGTCATGAGATTTCATATTTTTGGCCTTAAGCTATGATAAGATGCATCCAAGCGCCAAAATCTGAGTTCCCAGTTCATAATAACTAAAAACTAGCAGCTCAATGCCTGTCTAATTTATATCAGGCATGAGTCTCAAAATTCCTTAGCGAAACGTCACCAATGTTTAATCACATTCGCTTATTTCGTACGGGTGGTCCATGAGCTATCCATGAATTTGGGCCAACGTACTCATCAAGACCTTTATGTGGATACGTGGCGGGGCTTTAAAGGAAAAAAGTACCTTTGGTTTGTAAATGTATGGAATAGATTTGAGTTATTGTGCCTAGAATTCTTGTTAACATTGTTTCTACTATGGGTAGCTAGCGGTAGCTATGGCCAAAACTTTGTACATCTTATAAGTTCAGGGCTCAAGCGCCCGTCGACATGTGATGGAATATATCAAAGGTCAAATTGCGCAACCATTTACTTTAATGCGGTGGCGTGAGGCTACCTGAGGTCAGTGCGTGACCTCCTATGACATTTTCCGAATCATTTCGCACAAGCTATCGTCATGGTAAGAAGACAAAATTTACGCACTGTGAAAGGTTTGTAAAAACACTGCGCGGTCCCGAAAACATGACCTAATACAACCTTGACGTTTAATGATGCTCATGCCAACAATGATGGTTGCTATTACTCGCGATATAGCGGGATTTATAGGGCTTTGTCTTAGTTTCCTGGATTTTACTTGGCTTCGCCTAGGATACTATGAAGTGGTCGCGAGCATTGATCATCTGCATGCTCAATGCACGAAGCACATGAATTCCATCATCTTGCAAACTTGCATTGGCCTTCAGCAAACCGGGCCGTAACTGCTGAGAGGATATATCACAGCAATTATTACGATGCATGATGGTGAGCGGTTGACTTGTTTCCAATAATAGCTGAAAATATATTTTAATGATTGCTTGAAATATTCGTTTATCTTTTACGTCCTGGCATATTGACGGTTGGTTATTTTTAGCGCACACGTCACGATACCAAAAAAGAAGGTCGATATTTATTTTTTTATTGATATCAAATACAGCCAACTCACACCTTTAACATCATCCAACAAGAAAATTTGGTTTACAAAAGGGTAAACATGCGTCGTGGACCACCGAATTTTTCAATGCCAAGTCTCGCAAACGGAACAATTTACCAATGCCCTGACACGACAGATAGTTGAGATTAGCAAGCTATCTGTCAAATGACTAAGACTGAACTTATTTACACTCTGCTGCAGCGACGTGCAGAGCGATTCGGGAGATCCGCCGAAGAAGAAATAGGGAGCTGCATGGCATGCAGGGAGCCCTTCCTCCCCCCCCCCCCTGTCATGCACCTGCGCCAGTCGAGACTTTTACGTTTCCATGTGTTGTGGTTAAAAGCCGTCCGTGGTCACACCTAGCCGGTGAATTCCGCGTCCTTTACTAGTGTGAGCGCGCGTGCGAAGCTGCCGCTGCCCGGCAGGCCTCGGCAACGTGACGCCGTCCGGCGAGTTCAACTTCGTCTGCGACCCGGAGGCGGCGAACATCGTGCTCGCGTCCGTGCGCCGACCAATCTTAATCGCCTCGTGGGAGGTCTGCCTCAACCACGGCCTCGACATGGTCAGTCATACCCGCACACGGCCTCGACATGGTCAGTCACGTCCGCACACGGCCTCGACATGGTCAGTTACGCCCGCACACGGCCTCGACATGGTCAGTCTCGTCCGCACACGGCCTCAGCATGGTCAGTTACGCCCGCACACGGCCTCGACATGGTCAGTCTCGTCCACACACGGCCTCAACATGGTCAGTCACGTCCGCACACGGCCTCGACATGGTCAGTCACGTCCGCACACGGCCTTGACATGGTCAGTCACGTCCGCACACGGCCTCGACATGGTCAGCTACGCCCGCACACGGGCCGTGTGGCCTCGCTCGTAAGTGCATGAATGGCTGAACAATCGGCTGCGGGCTTCACGGTGCGTGTCAGGTGACCTTTTCCTTTGGACGCTCGCCTGCCTTCGACGCCCCACACAGGCCATGCTGCTAGATTTGCCGGTATCACGAATGATCACAGTGTAAGCCACGGCATGCATGAAAATGCAGATCGCATGCATAATGGCCTATGACATAGCGTTTCAGATAGCCACTTAGGAGTCGGATGCGTGCTGTTTGTGAAGGGTTCATGTGAAACCACCGATTAGCACGATTTCTTCTCGACCGTGTTGCCATCACGTACCGTTACTAATGGCAGCAATGGATTTCGCCCGTAGATACACTTTGCACCTTGTATAACACCTTGCCTTTGCACTTTGTACTTTGTATGACTGTATTTGAACCAAACATAGCAACTGTTGAAATCAAACAAAACCAAGACATGACATGGGTAGCACCGTTGTCAACCTCTGGCGCTTCGATGGCAGATCCAGTGCAACAACGCATGGAAAGCGATAATCCCGTGTGGACCGGGTGGAGCCGCCATTTAAATCGAGACTCGACGATGCCACCCGCTGTCATACTATCGAAGTCCTGGGGTGTGAAGATCGTTCAATGCGCCCGTGATATCTTGTCGCACCTGGCTGCACACTTCTTCCGTCACAATCTAGCTGACGGGCGGCTGGAAGCCGTGTGAAAGTGTCTAGTCATCTCCGCCCCTCTTTTTGCCGCCATGATGACCGCCATGTCTCTTGCAACCATGACAACGACGGCGACCATTGTCATCATCATCATCATCGTCGTCGTCATCTCCGCCTCGTCTCTTTCCACCACGACGACGGTGGCCATTGTCATCATCATCGTCATCGTCGTCACCGCCTCGCCTCCTTTTGCCGTGATGCCGTCTGCCACCGTCATCATCATCATCATCATCATCATCGCCATCATCATCACCACCGCCTCGACGTCCCGATCTGCAGCAAGTCTGAATGCATCCGTACTTGCTGCCCTTTCTGGGACAACGCGTGCAAGGATGCGTTTTGCCCCGGCATGAAGATGACCCTGCAAAAAGAACGGAATGTGGATAAGACCAAACGTGTGTTGTCAACAGATATGACCTTTGTAACGTTCAATCTAGATCCATAAAACTCGATATTAAGCAGTAGATAACACATAAATGTAGGTGTAGATATACCACCTTTTGTCACACCTACAGATCATGGCGAGGGTACCCATAGTGCAGTAGTTAAACAGCCTACGAAACCAAGGGAACAGGCTTCGAATCTCCGTGGTGCCCGCCCTTCCTGCTGGAGTGAGAGCCAGTCGGCCCCGTATAGCCTCAGCAGCTGACTGCGTCGCAAAGCCCCAATTGCACATAGACACCAGCCACAAGAAGAGGCGCCTTACCTTCGGCAGTTGCGGCCAGCGCTGCAACGACAAGCGCACAGACGACAAGCGCAAAGACGAAACGCATCGTGCCTGCCCGACGTTCAACGGTGCGGTGCCTTCGTCAGCATGGGCAACGCCTCTGAAATGTCTCGTCTTTTATACTGCCCTGAGGAAAAGGTCAGGAGCGTGACAGCTGTCACAGAACAACCGCGGCTGGCTGACGTGTATGCAGCCGACAGCAGTGGAGCCTTCATGTTGAACAGAAATCAGCCAACCTCGACTACGCTCAAACGTAGTGCGCTGCCACGCAATAGCTCAGCGACCTGCCAGCTACATGCATTGGTTCCCCAATGATCGCTAGGGCCCGACCCATGGTCGCCGCGTCACTGCGCCGCGTCAGGCGGTGGCGCTTTTGTGAAAATCGGTGGGATAAGACGGTTTTGTCGTAATGGCGCGGGGCGGCGACGAAGGCAGGCCCGTTGTTTTTGTTACCATTTTCTGCACGTCAGCTATTTTTGCCGCGAAGCTGCCGATATTTCAAGAGAATGTTCCACATTTGAAGATATTAAAGCAAGCATCAGATATGGTGAAGTGAGCTTACTTACACGTTCAAGTGGAAATGGCTGCTCCAGACGATATAGCATCTCTGCTTAGTAAACATACTCCTTAATGCATGATTGTTTGGTTACAATCATCGTAACTTGTACAACATTGATTTAAAGCTAATTGACGGCCGTTATATTTGAAATTGTGTTCACGAACGCCAGACACGACTCAGCAATCATATTTTATCGGCCTCGATCGTTGCATGGCCAGTGGAATAACAGAATTTTAATGACATTATTATGGCATCATGGGTGTCTGGGTGACCTTGAAATAGTCTCCCCGAAAAAGTTTGCACATTTTCGCGGACACGTAGCTCAGAAACTAGAGGGGTTTGGGGTCTCAAGAAGGGCAGGACATGCACCGAATAATCTTCAAGATGGCTCTTTCTGTTCTAAACCCCATGCAAATATGAAATGCAAATGTGAAACACTTCCTTCAACATGAGCTATAATGAAGATACCTTTTCTGGCGTGATGCCGATATGTGCATGCTTAAAAAAGGATCTCGTCCAAATCTTGTCATTAGATGGATCTAACCAGTGTCTGCGCTAAACAGTGTTTGTTGTATGAGCCCCAGCTCCACCACCCGATCGCAAAATATCGGGCCAACTGCTGCAATGCTCAGCACTCCAATGCCCAGCGCGGTCCGTGCTGCCCTCTCACGTCACCTGACCTTTAACACAACCGCGGACACCGACCGGAGGCCATCCCAGTTGGCTATTTGAGCTACAGTCCTTTTGACCAGAAATGATCATTTCAGGGCTATGAGATAAAGGAGGATGGATAACGGTGGGGCAGGACTGCATGCGCCTGGGGGGGGGGGAGGGGGGGGGGGGGGGTCAAATCGCTTAGCCGTGGCCCTCGCAGGGACCCGTCTGCGGGGGTGCGCTCGGCGCCCGATTGCGGTCTCCCTCCCGGGGCCTCTCGGCTCGCTCATGGCTGACGCATGCAGCCTGCCCGAACATGCAGGGCGTCGCTAGGAAGAAGGATGAAGCGAAAATCGAATAAGGGGGTCCGATGTCCATCCCAGTCCAAAAGAGAGCGTCTAGACTGTGCTTCACATTTGCATAGGGTTTTCAACTGAAATAGACATACTGAAGATCATTCGGTGCAATTTAAAGCTCTGCCCTTCCTAGACCTAAAACCAAGACCTAAAACCCTTTAGTTTCTGAGCTATACATCCGCGAAGGTGGGCAGACTGTCTCGTGCAGGCTATTTTAAGGTTACTCAGATGGCCGTGACGCCATAATAACGCCATTAAAATTCTTTTATTGCATTGGCCGTTTGGCGATCAAGCCAAGAAAAATATGATTCTTGAGTCGTTCATATGTGGCGTTCGTGAGCGTGATTTTTCTATACGACGCCGCCAATTGGCTCTCAATCAATAATATGTAAGATGCGCTGACGAAATCAAACAATGGCGCATTGAGGAGCATGTTTATGTAACAGAGAAATTGTGTTGTATAGAGCAGTCTTTTCCACTTAAAAGTATACCATTAGTTCCAAATGAGTTTACTTCATCACCCCTGGTGACTGTTTTAATATCTCTAAATGTGGAACATTTCCAGGTGCGTTTGTTAGTCCCTAGTTTCTCCCATTGAATAAACCGCCTGTTTCTCAGCCAGCAGATGTCACTTTTGTAGAAGAGCTTGCCCACATCAGTGATCACTCAGCCACCCTCTGAAAAGGCATTCACCTACCCGCCCGGTCGACCTAGGGCGTACACCTAATTCCCCTGTTAAAGGGAATGTTTCACATTAAAGGCTATTGAAACGAACACCAGATATGATGAAACAAGCTCACATTGAAATATTGATATGCTTGTTAAGTGGAAAAGAGTGCCCCAGACCACACAATTCCCTGTTTAGCAAGTATGCTCCTCAATGTGGCGTGGTTTAATGACGTCATCGTACCTTACATAACATCAATTGAGAGCCAATTGACGGCTGTCATATCTGGAAATTGCGCTCACGAACGCCAGATACGAACGCCTTCATAGTTGCATTCTTCTTGGCCTTGATTATAGCATGGCTTATGGGTTGGCAGAATTTGAATAAAGTTAGTATGGCGTCATGAATGCCAAGGTGACTTTGGAATACGTTCCCCGATATGCCTTTCACCATCTACGCGGCGTATAGCACAGAAACTAGAGGGGCTTAGGTCTTAAGAAGGGCAGAATTGTGAACAGCACCGCAAGTTCTTCAAAATGGGTATTTTAGTTCAAAACCCCATGTAAATGTGGGACGCTCCTTTTAAGGGTGCGTGGACTCACCCTTCCCGGCCGCACCCGGCGTCATATTTCTGAGGAGTTCTTGGCGTAAGTGGGGATGCTGCTGAAATCTCTTGGATGTTTCGTGAACTACAAAAATGAATTGAAAAAAAAAAATTTAGCTAACAACCACCCAATTCAGTGTGATTGTAGTTGCTGCTTGGCAGACATGGCATGAAGAATGGGTTTTTGAATGTGTATGATGGCTACCTTTTCAAATTTGATGTTCAGCAACGTATTTTATGATAAGGAATAACATTGTTGCAGTTCGTAGCATTGCCATTGAACAACAAGTACAGAGGCCGTAACGAGGTAAGGAGTCAACAAAATTGTTCAAACCGCCCACACTAAGTTAGAATGTTGGTGATATGCAACAGAAAATTGAATTAAATATATTTGATGACAATAGTGTAGTTCTATACCCG